CCACTTTCATCTGCATTACTATAACTGCAGCCCTCATGAGCTAGTGCTAGTATTTGTGGCCGGCTTAAACATTAGCAGGTGGGCCCAGTGGGTAAATGGCTTCTGGGGTTCAATTCCAGTGTTTTATTTATTAGTTGCCCATCAAATACCTATTTTGGATTTTTTGGATGATAGATGTAAAATAGTCTTGGGTATGAATCTTTAAGTAGAAGCTATGATCTACAATTTATGCATAAAATTTTTGTAAGTATTATTTTATGAATGTGTAGAAATAAATGATTTAAAAGATACATTGAGTTGAGATCTTTTTATCCTAACTGAAGCAAACATTTTTTAGATGTTTATTTTTTCCCTGAAAATTTTTTTTCCACATCCTTACAATCCATAAGCAAAATATAATAACAAAACGATTTAATGGTTGCCCTATATCAAGACTATTTAAAAAATATTACCTGACAGATGAGGTGTTAAGTTCCAGGAGGGTGGGGGTCCACGTCTTCTTTCACTGATGTTGTGTGAAGTGCTGGGCTTAGAACAGGAGCTCAGTAAACCCTTTTTGAATGACAGAAACTGACAACATGATCTAGATATTCAGCCCTCCTTACTTCATTTTAAATAAGGGGTGATTGTGACAAGCTTTTCCCTGAAGAATCCAAATTATTATTTTGACTCTTCAATTTAGTAATATCACCCAGAGCTTAATGTGATTATTATAGGCCTAAAGTTTTTTCAGGAATTGGCTTCTAGAGGAAGTAACACTGTGATAAAGTTAAATAGAATGTTTTGCTGCAGGGCTTCCCAGAGCCATTCATGCTAATGTGCGTTCAGATTTCCTAAAAAGCATTTCTCAAAGGTACATGACCCTGCAACCCCCCTTTCATGGAGCATTTGCGTTCTGTGAACTTTGGAAAAAGCTACTCTGTGTTATATTTCACTTTCCCTGTCTATAAGGAAGCCACAATGATCTGCTTCTAGAGCTTGTTTATTTGTGAAATATAATCAAGATGTGTGTTTGAAAATCACTACATATATTGTTTAAAAATATCAGTCATAAATAACTTATAAAAAGTTTCAGATGAAGAAAACTTTGGTGATTAGGCAGTAAAATGTTGCTTTACCTTCTGAAACTCCACTTTTCAGGAAGTTATATGTTGATATGTCTTTAAGTTTTTTTTTTTTTTTTTCTCTATTCTAGATTAGTGTGTTGAGTTTCTGAGCCATGTGCATTTAGTATCTCAACATCCATATATCACATTCAGCCATATCAGGACTTGATATGGATTTCCATAGTCCTCCTTATACATATAAGGTTTTAGTCATTTATCTTAATGTTAGAGATTTTTTAAAAAAAGAAAATGACAATATTTCTTTCCTCTGAATTCTTTGGACTGAGGCAGTTGGAAAAAAAAGCGGTAGACATGGCAGCCATTTTGCTTGCTTTTAATTTTCCTGCTTATATTTCCTCAGTCCTTCTCTGGCTTGGCATTTTGAATATCTTCTTGGGCACAACCCCAAACCATCTGATATATCTGTATTTTTTGTATCGGTTCTTTGAATCCTAATGATATTTTCCTACCTACTTTTCTCGTGCTTATGATGTGAGGCATGAGTTCCGTTGCCCTTTAAATTGACTTTTTATATAAGAACAGGAATATAGCTGGGCACAATGGCTTACACCTGTAATCCCAGCACTTCGGGAGGCTGAGGTGGGTGGATCACTCGAAGTCAGGAGTTTGAGACTAGCCTGGCCAACATGGTGAAACCTCGTCACTACTAAAAATACAAAAATTAGCTGGATGTGGTGGCACAGACTGGTAATCCCAGCTACTTGGGAGGCTAAGGCATGAGATGACTTGAACCTGGAAGGTGGAGTCTGCAGTGAGCCAAGATCGCACCACTGCACTCCAGCTTGGGCAACAGAGTGAGAGAAGAAAGAAGTTTGTGAGGAAAAAGAAGGGTGTTGCTTAATTTGAGAAAATTAATAAAAGTAAAAAAGGTTTTCAAAATATGTTTCACCATTTGGTGAAATTTTAACTTAGATGTCAAGAAGCTTTGCTGTATTAAGAAACTTTCTATCTTAATCCAGTTCTGATCTTTCTTTAGCAGTATGTAATTCTTGTATCCAGTGAAAGTTCCTTCTAAGCCATTTATTTAGAAGTTGGCAGTTGAAGTCCTTGCTCACTAAAGCCTCAGGAGTTTACTGAGAGGAAAACTGAGCCTTGTGAGGAAGCAGAGTCATCTCTTCTTGCCTCCATGATTGGGAGTTGGAATTCTACCAAGTATTATGAAAAAATTAAGGTCTAAGATGTGAAGACTTCAAAGTGTGTTGTGCCACACACACATGCTACAAATATATTTACCTAGGTATATATGTATACATACATACATGTTAATATGGTCACTTAGATTTGAGTTTAGATACATACATGTTAATATGGTCACTTAGATTCAGGATTTCCTAGAAAATCCTAGGAAATTTTATATAGGAAGAGGTGGGATATTAGCCCTTACCTTCACACTTACTTTACAGTTCAGTTCTTATAAAGATTGTACTTAGCTATGTGTAAACTCTTAAATATTACACTCAGGTATTTGTAAATCTTATCAACAGCCAATTTGTATCTCAATAGCAGAAATCTATATCATACTGATTACAGTTTTAATTGAAATATCTTTTTGTATGTTTTAAGGTGAAAATATCTTAAGGCTTTCATAGGAATGAATACAAATGTTAATAGTAAGTATATCTGAGTGGTGGGATTATGAATAATCATAATTATCTATATAGCTTTTCAATTTTTGTATATTGAGTCTTTCTTGATTTTATAGCCTGAAGCATGTTGATTTGAAATGACTCTTATTTATTTGGAGAGTCTCTTATCAACTTCCAGAAATTGTTTTTCTATAGCACTTCCATTATTATCTTTCTTTTTATCTACAAAGTTCTCATAGAGACCCAAGTAAGTCTCTAAGTATCACTCCCTATATTTGTGAGCTTGGCTGTCTTAGCAAAGTACCATAGACTGGTTGGCTTCAGTAATGGAGATTTGTTTTTCTCACAGTTCTCTGGAGGCTAGAAGGCTGAGATTAGGGTGCCAGCATGATAAGGGTCTGGTGAGGACTCTCTTCCTGGCTTGTAGATAGCTGCATTCTTCCTATGTCATTTCTTGGTGGAGAGAGAATGAGCAGGCTCCCTGGTGTCTCTTCTTATAAGGGCTCTAATCCCATTACCAGGGCCCTACTCTCCTAGCCTCATCTAGTCCTAATTACCTACTAAAGGCCCCATCTCTAAATACTATCGCATTGAGGGCTAGAGTTTCAACATACACATTTTTGGGAAGCACAACATTCAGTCCATAACACTTTTTAAAATTTAAACTGGTAGCATACAAGATTTCCAGAAATGGCATCTAAATAGAAAAATACTAGCCGAATATACATAAAAACATTAATGATAGTTATTTCTAGACAGTAAGATTAGAGGAGGTTTTCTTCATTTTCTGTGAATTCAAAGTATATTGCTTTTACAACTGAAAAATAAAATAGGTATTATTTTTAAAGGAAAATGAAATACTATGGAATGTTCCATTTCCTAATAATCTTGGAATTTTGAAAATCTTTTTATTTCATCTCTTGATGTTTTTCTGAGAATTAATAAAAGTGTCTACAGAACTTAGAGTACTCACTTCTTGGCACATAATAGAGCTGCATAAATTTGCTTCTCCTCTTTTTCCTCCTTTTAACATGATGACAATGTTAATAACAATGGTAATTATTACATTTCCATAGGAGATATGCCATTGGGCATATAATATAGGAAAATAAAGTAGACAATAGCCATAAAGTCAGGACAAACACATTTGTTGCAAAGTGTTTAAAAATGAGTAACTTATAAATAGAATAGCCTATTAATTGTCTTTACTTTTAGAATTCTGAGTCTTTTTGATTCTGAGAAAATGAATTGTTTTAAAAAATTGGTAGATTGTTCTGTGTTAGCATTCAGTGACAAATTTAATATGAGCTCCTTAACTCTGTGCGATAAAATGGTGGGCAGATGTGACACTGAGAAAACCTGAAGTCAGTTTTTCATGTGTCATACTTTCATTCCAAAGACCAATTGAAGCCTAATACTGTTATGGAAAAATTTTTGCCATTTTTTTTTGTTGTTTTGGTTCCCCTATGAGAGCTCTCTCTTCACTACTTTCTAATGCATTGTTTCTCTTGCTCTATCTTGTGTATAGAGCCTGTCATTGGTAACTTTTCCCAATTAATTCCACATCTGAGTGTAATATTTCTAGTTGCTAGCTCCATAAATCAATAGGTTGAAATGCCCTGCAAGGTAGTCATGTGTTTTGTAACATAGGGACCTGACTGCTCGCCAAATGAATTATGACATTGTGATGTATTATTTCCAATCACTATAAATTTTCAATATTTAGTGTATCAGTCATACTAAGTCAAGATTCAGTTATTTAGTTTCACTTATGTCTGTATTTTAGATGAGAATCCTTTTTCCCATTAGTAGATTTGAATTTCTTTCTCTCTCAGAGTCAAATTCCAAGCATACCTTACAAAAATCAGCCATAAAATATACACATAAACTATTTTTGTGTTTATAAGTGGATTCAAAAATGTACACTAGTAAACTGTATCCCAAATTAAAAGCTGTTCACTTACATGGTGTTCTGTTTTGTTTTTTAACACTTAGATTACTTTTATCACCGTTGCTTTGGTAATTTGATTCCCAGATATTAGACAAACATATTTAGGTAATTCTCTGTATTGTATTTACACATGATCTTGATTGGGAGCTTAAACCATCCTCTCACAAATGATCCTCAACTGTGAACAAAGTAAATTGTCCTGAATTTGGGGCTGTATCTACACCATGGTTAGTGTTTAGCAGCACTACCAAAATTACTTTCTTAAATTCTGTTTTCATGATCTTAAAAATAATTTTTATTCTTTATTTTTATTTTTCTTTTCTTCTTTACCAACAGGACACAAAAATCGCTTCATTGGAGCGAAACATAAGGGATCTTGAGGATGAGATCCAGATGTTAAAAGCCAATGGTGTGCTGAACACTGAGGACCGTGAAGAAGAGATCAAACAAATTGAGGTTTACAAAAGTCACTCCAAGTTTATGAAGACCAAGGTACGGTCCAGGGTTATAAACTTTTATGTTCTTAATGTGACTAGAAAGTTACAGTCTACATACATACTTTTTTCGAATACTCATATAATATGCTTTATGTGATATTATTTAATATATGGACAAAAAAGGAGAATGCGTAAGATTTTTGTTTCAGACATATAGCTTCCAAAAAGCAATCAGGGAAAGCCTTTGGTGGAATTTCTCCTTACTGAGAGGTTCAGGCTTTAATTAGGAATTCCTTTGGTGTTCCTCTTTCTTGGGAATTAACATATTTATAGTCCACTCTCTTCCAAATTTCCACCATCGTTATAAGTTTGCTATTTTTTTGAAGTTGCTATCGTTGCCAAATTTCTTGCTTCTCTTAGAAGGTGATTGTCTCAAAATATATTGTTACTATAAGCCAATTTAACTCATTTAAATGTTATTAGGTTGGGAGGCAGTGGTGGGCAGATCAGCTGAGGTCAGGAGTGTAAGACCAGCCTGGCTAACATGGTGAAATCCTGTCTCTACAAAAAATACAAAAATCAGCTGGGCATGGATCTCGGCTGCTTAGAAGACTGAGGCAGGAGAATCACTTGAACTCGGGAGATGGAGGTTGCAGTGAGTCAAGATCATACCACTGCACTCCAGCCTGGGAGACAGAGCAAGACTATATTTTAAAAAGAAAAAAAAAGTTATTAAGCTCTTTTGGTTTTAGCATAGCATTTAAGACATAAATAGTTTTGAGTCCCAATGCTGCCATTTAGTTAAATCATTAAACTTCCCTAAGCCTCAGTTTCTTTATCCATGAAATAGGGCTAAGAAAAATACCTACATCATTGGGTTGGTCTGATGATTCCAAGAGATTTTCATTTAAAGCCCTTAGTCCCTTGTCTGATCTCTAGAAAGTATCTGTTAAATGTCAGGCATTGTTCTTGATAATAGTATTAATATTATTATTGTTATCTATTGCTATGGAATCTTTATAAAATATTTTTGAGTAACCTGCTCCATTAGTTTATATTGTTATTGTCAGTTTTAAAGATTTTGACTAGTATTTTTCAAAAATAAACTTGGGGCTTTAAATGGACCAAGCACCTGAGTATCTATTATTTTCACATATGCATAATTATTAAATTTATGAATAGCCCAAATAGGTCTTTTGAGACTGAAATACTTTTATCTCTTCCTCTGTTTAAATCATTTTCCTTCTGAAATTAATAACCATATCAATTAAAAAGTTTTTTTTTTCTTTTTTTTTCTACCACTTGCTCTTAAATATGCCTGTTCTCTTGTTCTAGGTTTTAATCTTGTTTGTTGCTTTATGAAGTGCAGCAGAGTTAGAGTAATGCAAACCTCTGTGAGAAAGCAGTGGGAGAGGAGAGAAAAATGTTTAAATGATTTTTATCAGTTGTGAAATATGTGCATACTCCTTGCTGAGTTTGCAAGTTATAGGGAGGAAATAATGATATCTATCTAGCGTTTACTTAACCACGACTTGTGTGTGTGTGTGTGTGTGTGTGTGTGTGTGCGTGCTTGCATGCATGTATGTTTCCTTAAGGAAAAAACACAAAACTGCTTACTTCTGTCAAGTTTCCATCTCTCACTAGATGTTGAGATTGTGCTGAAAATGTGGATCAAGGTGTTGAGATATGAGGGGACTGTCCAGTGGATTTGAATGAAACCAGGGACTGCCTCAAAATGCAGAATGAGTTTCCCTGCTCAGTCCGTCCTTCTGGTTTGTTTCTTGCAGTCCCTCTTTCTCAGAGAGTTGAGCCAAGGTTCGGCAGTCACAGTACTAGGGTGACCTGCAGACAGTGCCCAAATCATTCTGGGAATGAAGACCAGAGGCACAGATATGAGTGAACTCAAGAAGTTTGGGGGAAATTATTGTTTTGGCTTAAACTTTTCCTTCTGACTCTGTTATTCCACAATGGGAGATTGTTCAAGCCACTTCTACAGCTGAAAATGTCATGAAATTTGTAAACTCTGCCCCTCATCATGGACGCTGTCCAGGTGAATAAAACATTTATATGATCTTCAGCAAGTCATGACCTTTATTAGCCCACATTTGTCTGAGAGACCATCAATCCTTGAGTTAGATTTAACTTTTAATGGCTAGTTATTTTTAATGGTTCCAAAAGTGGTCAGGTCAGAAGAATGTTTGAGGAAAGTAGTGGAGTGAGGTGGAAAGAGTGCAGACTGAAGACAAAAGCAGACTCTAGCAAGTCTCCAGCCTCCCTTTGCCAGCTGCATAGGGAGTGACTTGAGGAGTGACCAAAGTCACTCGACCGCACTTTCTTCTATAAAATAGGGGCAATAGTACCAACCTCACAGGATGGTTCAGATGGACTAAATGAAGATTAAAATGAAATATTGTGGTTAAAGTATGTGGCTCAAAAAAGTAGCTTATAATTATAAATATTATTATTGAAGTACTATAACCAAATAGTAAGTGTTATGTTTAACTTGACTAATGGGAAAATAGATTTCTAAGAAATACAAATAAAAAGAATTCTTAGAATGTTATGCACCTACCCCTTTTACTGTTAAAAAATAGCTAAAATGTACTAGTGAGGGTCAGTTTTTAATATTTTCTCCATTGAAAGAATGTTCTTATTGGATTGAACTATAACATTTATTGCTAATGTTTCCTATCATTAATTACTTATTTTTCTTAATTCCTTTACTTGGTTTTTTTGTTTGTTTTGAGATGGGTCTCACTCTGTCACCCAGGCTGGAGTGCAGTGGTGTGATATTGGCTCATTGCAGCCTCCACCTCCCTGGTTCAAGCAATTCTCCCACCCCAGCTTCCTGAATAGCTGGGATTACAGGTGCACATGACCACACCAGCTAATTTTTGTATTTTTTTGGTATAGATTGGGTTTTATCATGTTGGTCAGGCTGGTCTTGTACTCCTGAGCTCAAGTGATCTGCCTGCCTCAGCCTCCCAAAGTGCTGCAATTACAGATGTGAGCCACCACACTCAGCCCAATTCTCCTACTTTGAGTGATGAGTGTGATTCCTCATTTAAGCCTGGGAATGCTGCTTGCATTACTTATTAAAATGAATAAATCATGTAGATTGGAGGGAAAGTATTTTAAATAGGCTTGTGGAAGGAGGTACACTTCCATGTTGATCCAGAGCAGGTAGTTGGAATTGGTAGGGCCTCTTGAAAGCTCTGTTGTTAAATTAAATAGCAATGAATGCCTGAATTGCTTTTACAAATGTGATATCATAGAAAAACCATGATATAATATTTTTGGAAAGGTGGAAGGTGGGTTGCAAAACTCAGCTTGTGTGAAGGCAGGAATACTAAACATAGTCAGCCAGGGTAGAAATCCTGTCATCTTGGAAGTCCTTTGGCACCTGAACATTGTCTCTGAGAACTGAGCCTCTGGGAGATCTCAGATGTGCAACTCTCCCATGTTGGAAACTCCAATTCCTACCCAACACTGAAGGGTTAGAGGAATCAAACTGTGAGAGCTGAATCTCAGAGGCCATGGAAAGCATGAATTACTTTCAGGAGCTCTATGAAGCCTCAGAGAATGGAACATACCAAATACATAATTGTTTTTCTGGTAGGGAAAGAATAATGGCATTTCCTTTCTATACAAGGCTTTGTTCCTAGTCTAACACATTTTTCATCTACTCATTCCAGTATTTCTATATTAGCTGCTCCCTCTGTTTCCAGTGTTTGCCAGAGACGCTGATCTGCTGTCTTAGATCTCCTCCTTTATTCTGAATTTGTAACACATTTTCTTATAAACCTCTGATAGATTACAAACCTCATAACCCAAACTGCGTGATAGTAAGCATATCACTTTCTAGACATGAGAGCCATATCTGTAGTGAAAAAGAAGCTGTTTTCCTTGGCAGACTGTTTTTTTCAGGGTGTAGGTTGTGTCATAGATGGAAGTGGGGGAAGAATTTTCAGACGGGATGAAGTGTGCCTGATGTCCACATGGACTTCATATAAAGCATGTGATGTAATTCCTATTGGCTTTTCTTCTGGCCATCACAGAGACAGACCTTCCCTGGCCTCAGTTCTCATGTATGTTCGATTGCATCACTTTCCATTTTTATGGAATTTATGGCTGTAAAAGAAGCAAAAGGCATATTTTTATGGGAAAATATGATTTTTTTTACCCTGTAACTATATTCCCCTTAGAAAAGCCTTTTTGTGTTATTGTCTGTATAAATATTTATTTAAAATTTGCCTTATGGCAGCAATATCTGAAAGCTATTTAGAGTCACTGCCTATTTAATATTTATAGACTGAAATAGTTTTATCATTATCAATCTACTTTTATTGAATAAAGGAGGTATATGTAGAACCTGCCATGCCCTTCCTCCTGACTAAACCCCATTCTCTATATCCAGTTTATTTCCTTTACATTTCCCTCTCAATATCCCAACCTCCCCACCCCCCCCACTAGCTTTCTACTGTGGTATTTGTGGAAGTTAGCACAAATCAGCTTTTTAACTATAAACATCATCTTTGCTTAGGTGTGTAGAACTGAAAGTTTTTGAGGGTTAATTTCAGATGAATCAGTTTCATATGTGGAATCAACTATAAACTGTGCTGTCAAATACAACTGGATACGATTTGGGGCCATGCCCCCAACCCTGAAAAGAGTGCTGATCATGTTGATCTTAACAGATTTTAATGTCTTTTATCATTTTAAGTAATCCTAATTCTGATTTTTCCTCTTTTTATTTATACTGTATTCTCGTTACATCTCAGAGAGAACTTCTTATTTTTGTTCCACATAAAAATGACTACAGACTCATGATTCATTAAGTTATAAAGAAATAATGTGTTTCAGAAACTGCACATACCTGAGCAGTGCTCACTTTCTCACATATAACTGGGGCACATTGATAAGCAGTCATGGTTTTTTCCCAGTGAATCTTTATGCATACTCAGAAGCCTTCTCAAGACCATTTTTTGTTTAGCCACACCAATCCTTTAGATCTGGCTAGCAAGATGAAGCTTGTTTGTTCCCTGATGTAGTCTGACTTCTTGCAAATGGAATTTCCATTCATATAAACCTTTTTACTAAGTTGTGCAACCTGAACCCTTCTGAACATGGGAGTCTCACTCCTGTTCCTGGTCACCTGATGTTGTCAGTAGCTTGTTATTGTTTATGTCAGTTTTCTTGCTGAAAACAACAAAAAATGCTGAATGAAATATATTTTTTAAACATACGTTTTAAAATGTACATGAGCTCTTGAGTAAGAAAGAACCTCAAGGGTCAGAGCTAAGCCATAGCAGGGAGCTTGTATGATAAGTAGAGTATGGGTTATGTATTAGTCTGTTCTCATTCTGCTACTAAAGACACACCCAAGACTGGATAATTTATAAAGGAAGGAGGTTTAATGAATTCACAGTTCTACATGGCTGGGGAGGCCTCACAATCATGGCAGAAGGCAAATGAGAAGCAAAGTCATGTCTTACATGGCAGCAGGCAAGAGAGTGTATGCAGGGGAACTGCCCTTTATAAAACGATCAGATCTCATGAGACTTATCCACTATCATGAGAACAGCATGGGAAAGACGTGCCCTGCCCCTGTGATTCAATTACCTCCTGCTGGGTCCCTCCCATGACACGTGGGAATTATGGGAGCTACAATTCAAGATGAGATTTGGGTGGGGTCACAACTAAACCATATCAGGTTATTTATTTTTGTTGGCAATTTTTAGATAGATGAACTTGAGCCCTGGTTTTCATAGCCACAAGGACATCGAAGAAAAAAGACAGAAGTCTGGACCTACTCAAGATGAGGCATAGTAGGAACCTTACTACCACCACCAAATAAAGCTGGGATTCCAGACACCTATACTGCTACTGCAGAGGCAAACTAAGAATAACCTTACCATATTTCCCCCTCCTCGCACTTAGGGGACTCCAGGGAAAATTTTCTGTTTTAAAGCTTTGAGTCAAGTAAAAGATGAAAAATTGTCCTCAGAATCCATAACCACAGCCGGCTCTTGCATGGATGTGATGTGCAAGATGATCTAAAAACTTCAGATAGAGAATGTAGCTACATTCTTGGTTGATAGGGCTCCCAGCTATTGGCAGAGGCAAATTCTCTAAGGGACCACATAGGCCGTAAAGCATTTTTCCAGGTAAAGTTCCCGAAAAATCCCAGTACACAGTACAAAAAAAGAGAGAAAAATCACAAAACCTGAAAGAAAACAGGCCACATAAGTGATAGCCAGTAGAAAGCATAAATAGCAGAATCAGAAAGCAAAGACTTCAAAAGTTCAAATTATAAGAAAAAGACTATGAAATATTAAGTGTGTTTAATATGTTCAAATAAATAACAGATTAAAAATATGAATAAAGAGCAAGAGACTATAAGAAACCAAGCAAATTTAAAGAAAACCAAATTAAGCCTTATAGTCTGAAGGCTTATCCTAGGAATGAAACAAGGCTGAAAATTAGTGTGATAAGCGTCCAACTTAAAAAGTTAGGAAAAGAAAATAGAAAAATAGAATAAGTGCAAAGAAAGTAGAAGGAAAGAAATATTTAAAAATAGCAGACATGGATGAAACAGAAAGTAAAAGTGTAATTGCATAATCAATATAGCCAATTTGACTCCTTGATACTTAACTTGACATGCCTCTACTGAGATTCATCAGGAAAAAGACTAGTTAAAGCTAAAATAAAACTTTAAAAAAGTGGAGGTTAATAATGTAGAATATTAGAATGAAAAGCAAGACATAATCATAGATACTATTTATATAAAGATAAGTGGGTTTTATAAAAATTTCCTGCAAATAAGTGTGAAAATTTAGATGAAACAAAAAATTCTTTGGGAGAAAAAAATATATTAACATTGAATCAACTAATTAGAAACTTGATTATTCCTGTAGCCATTAAAAGTGGATTACTAAGTAATGTTCTTTGGAAAAGAAAATAGCAGCTCTGAATGGTTTTGCTGGTGATTTCTAATGCACATTAATGTAAAAAAATTTCAATTTCACAGAAACCATTTCTGAACACATTTAAAGAAGGAACACTTCCTACTTCATTTGGAAGGCTAAATTGGTATTAAAACCTGAAAAGAACAGTTTAGGTTGGGAAAATTATAAACCAATCTCAGTTATACACATAAATTAAAAATCCTTACAAAATATTGGCAAACTGAATCCAGTAACATATAAAAATATGTAATAGAACAATACCCAGTAATGGGATTGCAGGGTCAAATGGTATTTCTATTTCTAGGTCGTTGAGGAATTGCCACGCTGTCTTCTACAATGGTTGAACTAGTTTACGCTCACACCAACAGTGTAAAAGTATTCCTGTTTCTCCACATCCTCTCCAGCATCTGTTGTTTCCAGATTTTTTAATGATTGCCATTCTAACTGGCATGAGATGGTATCTCAATGTGGTTTTGATTTGCATTTCTCTAATGACCAGTGATGATGAGTGTTTTTTCATATGTTTGTTGGCCTCATATATGTCTTCTTTTGAAAAGTGTCTGTTCATATCCTTTGTCCACTTTTGGATGGGCACATATACACCATAGAATACTACGCAGCCATACAAAACAATGAGTTCATGTCCTTTGTAGGGACATGGATGAATCTGGAAACCATCATTCTCAGCAGACTGACACAAGAATAGAAAATCAAACACCACATGTTCTCACTCATGGGCGGGTATTGAACAATGAGAACACGTGGACACAGGGAGGGGAGCATCACACATTGGGGTCTCTTGTGGGGGACTAGAGGAGGGACAGCAGGAGGTGGGAAGGATGGGAGGGATAACATGGTGAAAAAAGCCAGGTATAGATGATGAGGGCATGAAGCCAGCAAACCACCTTGCCATGTATGTACCAATGCAACAATCCTGCATATCTGTACATGGACCCTAAATCCTAAAGTAAGATTAAAAAAAAATTAATGACAGAATGGGTTTTTTCCAGGGGAGATTAAAGTTAAAAATTTCGTTAATGCAATTCATTACGGTAACATATAAGGTTGAAAGATGGTGATAAATCATGAGATACAGAAAAGAAAATGTTTGGTAATGTTAAACATTCACTAATGTTTAAAAAATACTTTTGGCATAGTTGTAATAATGCAAAGCCTAATAAAATGTCTATAAAAAACCCAATGCAAACACAAAATTTAATGCTGAAGCATTGAAATTCTTCCCTTTAATACCTGAAACAAGAGAAAGGGGCCGACATGACCAACAGGCCTCTCTGTCTTTACGCATGGCCTGTCCATATGTCTGGTATGGTCTTCCTCACAGCGTGGTGGCCACAGCATGGCTGAGCTTCTAGAATGTGGTGGCTGGCTTCCAGTGGGTAGAAGCAGAACCTGCCAGTCCTCTTGTAGGCTAGGGCTGCAACAGGTATACTGATTATTTTGCTGTTGGCAGAAGGAAGTAACAGTCTAGCCCAGGTTCAAGAAGTTAAACTTCAGCTCTAGTTGTGAGGATCAACATTTGTGTACAAGTAGGAAGGAATTAGTAGATGATATCTCTGCAGGTAATCTACCTGCACAACGCATATCAAATTGGCAAAAATGTAAAAGACCAGTGACATAAGTTATTGGTAAAGAAGTGGAGTGATTCGCATACTTGCAAGGTGCTCGTGATCGTGTAAATTAATAGAACTGTTTTGGAAAACATTTTTGTTTTATCTAGTGTAATTTAAGATGAATATGTTATGTGGTTCAGCAATTTAAATCTTAGGCATTTGAGAATATTATTGCTATGTGAAACAGGTTATATGTATAAGAATATTCAGAATAGTACTGTTTATAGTAGCAAAAAACCTAAGAATAAACCCAAATTTCTATCAGCAGCAGAATGGATAAATAAATTGTGATGAAGTCTTTCAATGGAATACTCTACTTCAGAGAAAATGAATGAACTCTGTACAACATTGTGATTTAATCTCCAGGACATGAGATTGAGTAGGAAAAAAGCAAAGTAGTAAAAAAAGTTTGTATCCCAAATAAAGTTTAAAAACATGCAAAACCAAATAGTATATTATTTATGGATGCAAAAATATATGATAAGCCTAAGAGACAAGGAAAGAAATGATAAACACAAAATTTGAGGTGGTAATTATTTCCAAATGGGAAGAGGAGATAGAAATGGTATGGGACATAGATAATCCTAGTGATCTTTTATGGTGAATTGAATGATGGCTTGTTTTTGCCATTTTATCTTATATCTTATGTATATTTTATGTTCTTTTGTATCTTCTCAATATTTAATGTAAGCAAAAAGAAGATCCCCAATTCTTACCTGCTTTTTTAGGATTCTTTTTTCAAATGCTGCCCTTGAACGATTATTTGCACTGTGGAGTTATGCCTTGATTTAATTACCCATGTTAGATCCCTGTTGACTCTCCTCAGAACCATGGTGGTAATAGACTTGATGGTTTCCTAGATGAGTAGGTTTGGCCAGGAAGTCTTCATTTCCATTGTGAAATTTGGTCCACAGTGGGATGGGAGGTAGTCTGCTGACCTTTCCATTCCTATGTTCTATACTCTCAGCAACATTTACAGATTTTCCTCCAGATCCCAAAGACTGTGTGATTCCCAAGCTCATCTTTTTAAGAAAATTCATGGCCTGCCTTGTTAAATTGTTGATCACTGGCTGCTGAAATGGAAAGAAATCAGTTGTTGTCCAATGTAAAGTGTAGGGGCAGCAATTTCTAATTTCTTTCAATTTTGTTGTTTTGCAGATTGATCAACTGAAGCAGGAACTTTCAAAGAAGGAGTCAGAACTTCTTGCCTTACAAACAAAGCTTGAAACTCTTAGCAATCAAAATTCAGATTGCAAGCAACACATTGAAGTGCTCAAAGAGTCACTTACTGCCAAAGAACAGAGGGCTGCCATCCTTCAGACTGAGGTAAGGCACTGTCTCAGGATTCTATACAGCAGAGACATTGAGTTGATAGAAAATGCCCTATCTGAACATCTCTCCTCAGAAGACCCTTTATCCAAACCCTTGGGGCCAGATGTATTTTGAAATGCCTATTGGGCTTTCAGAAAGGCGAGATGCATTGTATAGATTGTGTAACACTGCAAGTGAAAATGTAGCAACACCCCATAAGCAAACACATGAATATTTCTGCAGAAAAAAAAATTTCTCACACTAAGTAGGATAAATACAGACTGTATAACTAGACTCTTGTCAGTTTGCATGATGTTGTGCCACCAAAAATGTTTGGTTCACACTTGGAATTTCTTTTTTTCATTCTTCAGAGCATTTTGGATTTGGTAACCATAGTTAAGTGCTTGGATCTAGAATTTTTTCATTTTATCAAAAATCATAAAATAACTGGAATGTCATCTGCCTTACTTTGCTTTGCATCATCTGTATGGGTTCCCCTTCTGGCACCTGTGTTTCCAAAGTTTTCTTATTTACTAGGGAATATCTTCAATTTCTTTTACCCATTGGAGAAAGCTGATATTGTGTGAGTTTCTCAAAGGAAATACTCGTTTGTTATCTCTTATTCATGCTTAGAAGAACAACAAAAATATGTTACTATCCTATTTTCCTTGTTTTCCTTTCTGGATTATATCTTTGAGTCTGCTAAGAAATGCAAAACACAAGCTAGTTATTGTGTAAATACAATAGTTGTCAGATGCAGCAGGCAATAGGGAAAAATGTGGTGAATCTCCTGATTTTGTATTGAGGCAGTGTGCTGTGTGCATTACTTTAGAAGGCATTCTAATCAGCATGCATGCTCTCTCTTGGACTTTTTGAGCTGTGTCTTTGCATGTATATATTTTAGCATCTGTGGGGAGGTTTGGATTTGTCTTAGGAGTTAATGGGACGGTTGAGTAGGTCTGTGCTCTCATTCAAGGTTCAGGACAGTGTCCAGAGGAGGAAGAAAACATGGTCCAGATAGGATGGGTCTTAGCATGAACCTGACTCAGCCCCTATGCCTTTGACCATTGGCTGATAGGCAGTTACCTGATTGCTTCAATTCAAAACAATCACCTTGGCCTCAATGATGTAGATATTTCACATTTAAGAAATGTCATTTTCAGTTGTGTATAGTTCCACTGTGAATGCAAAGATATGGATATTTTATTTTTTAAGACAAACACTTAATCTATACTATAAATTGGAAGTTGGGTTGTATCTCCTTTGAGGAGGCAGCAGTGAATAGTATCTAGAACTGTGTTAAGACTGTAGCCACATGGGGCTATGTAAACTGAAATTAATTAAAATCCAGTGAAATTTAAAATGCAATTTTATAGTCACATTAGCCACCTATCAAGTACTAACAGTTACATGTGGCTAGTGGCTATCGTATTAGACAGCACAGCTAGAGAACATTTCTACCATTGAGTACTTGTCTCAAATGGGGGTCAACCAAAACTATGGCTTGTGGGCCAGATCTGGTCCTGTGCCTGCTTTTGTAAATAAAGTATTATTGGAACACAGCCATACCCATTCATCTGCATGTTGTCTTTAGCTGCTTTTGTGCTACAACAGCAGAGTTGAGCAGTTGCAATAGATATTGTATGGCCCACAAAGCTGAAAATATTTACTGTCTGGCTTTTTACAGAAAGTTTGCCAATTTCTGGCATTGCGATTTTGTGGGAAAAGGAATGAGTGGGCATTAGAATGCCCAGCTAGTCTTCTCTCTGGCTGTGGTACTCTAAATGGAGCAAGATAGTTTGCTGACCGCTGTTCTAGAGCACAAATTTTTCTTCACTGTATTATTCAAAAAGCAACTGCTTGTACCCATGTTTTGTCACTAATGCCCAGATTACCAATACAGTTAGTGTAATATTGTTACTGTGTGTTGTTGGGTAGGAGAGAATTTGAGAAGCAAGGCAGTCTGCTTGCCCAAACCAGCAGTCAGGTTTCTTGATTGTTCCTCTGCAGGGAAAATGAATGAGAAGTCAGCTCAGAAAGGCTTCTCCTCTCACTATCTTGTACTGATGGGGGCTTTATTCTTTGGCTTCTTTCCTTTCTCATTCCCCTCCCTATATTTTACCTCTGTCAAATTAATGTAGTCCAAATTAGACCTATACATATTTCATGAAAAAGACAGTGGTGACATTATATGGATAGCTTTTGTCCCACTTTCAATAATTAAAATGACCCAATAAAGGGATGATGCTTTGAAGTAGAAAAAAAAATATTCTCCATGTGCAGAGAAAGTGAGATGATTTTCTAAATCTTCTGCTTTGAAGTTGAGAGTGTGAGGTTACTGATTTTATTAGCTGGAAATGGCTAAGGAATTTTCTTTTGCCTTTTTTTTTTTTCTTACAAGATCTCTTTGTATATGGAAACAGAGGAGAAATTTACCTAATTATGCCTGTCTCTTAGGGGGAGAAATTTAGGTTGAAATCGCTCTAATTGTTGTATTATAGTCAGAAGATTTTCAGCAGCAAGGTAGAATACTTTAAAGTGATTTCCCCGCACTTTGGGATGCCAGAGGTAAATAAGAGTCTTTCTACCTATTGTGTGGTGGGTTAGTGGGTGCGTATTCAGTAGATGAGATAGGTTGTGTTTCGTCATGCCCTACCATGAAAAATCTGAGTTTAAATTCATATGAAATAATCTGTACACCAAACTTGTGACACACAATTTACCTATATAACCCGCACATGTACCCATGAACCTAAAATAAAAGGTATGAAAAAAAAAAGATATGGTGCCCACCCTCAAAGGAGGTTACGTGTGATAGCTTTTTGCAATTTGATTCGGTAGTCATTGCTGAAAGCTTTTGCCAAAACTGAAAGGGGCTCTCTTTAGAATGGGAAGAGCCCTGCTATATCTGTGCCATCAACTGGCTTTGGCTGCTCTTTTAGAATACTATAAATGACAGATGTCATGGTTTAATTGTTCATCTTTGTAAGGAAGGTTTGTGCTGCTAGGGAATTTGCATTTAGGGTTGGTAAGATGAAGGGTGGAGTGAGGGGTATGAGCAAGTTGTCTTGGTTTGTGGCTATGTGGGTTGGCTCTTTGGTTGGTTTGTTTGAACTTGTACAAATGCCCGGACACTCTTTGACATGTGTGCAATAAATCAATGGAATAATAATTACATACACAGAGAGATACACCACATAGTTCTTAACATAACATTTTACTTTTTAAAATAGCTTCAAAGGACTCTAAGGCCAAGTTTCTTATTTTGCTACTTCCTGTGATGTTTCCTTCATACCAGCTTACCCCATCCACCAACACATGAATTCCATAGCAGTAGAGAAAATGGTGAATTGGCGTTCTCTAGCACCTTGATTTTTCTGGATTTCAGTGAACAATTAACAACACATCCAGACATTGGGAAGGATTAAGGCCTAACATTTATTCTGTGATCTAAAGTAAAATGTTAAACAAAACACAGCATTTAGAAGTGGGAGATGTGTAGCTATGCCTCAGCCTCCCTATTCAATAACTGTGGTGTGGACAAGATGTGTACTTCTCTGAGCCTTCGTGTCACAGTCTATGAAATGGTAGTCATTGTATCAGCCTGACACATGTGTGTGAAAAGTGCTTTGGTTATAGTCAAGGGTTACAGCTATAAATTACGGTATCACCATTACAGTTATTATTATCATTACTGCTATTATTTTTATCAGGGATGTTTGGGCAGTTCACCCCTGAATACTTCACTCGTCATCTTCATATCCGTTCTGTGTTTCAGCTTTGTGGGTCTCCTTTGAATTTTTGGTATGTGCATTTACAGACCACAGACTTTTATATTTCAGTTGAGTCACTTTTTTGTGTTAGAACGATATGGAGAAATAAAGATACTATGAAAGTGACCATCTCTTTGGTTCCATCTCCAAATTTAAGAGATTTATTTGTAGTCGGGCATGGTGGTTCACACCTGTAATGCCAGCTCTTTGAGAGGGCAAGGCAGATAGATCACTTAGTGTCAGGAGTTCAAGACCAGCCTGTCCAACATGGTGAAACCTGTCTCTACTAATAATACCAAAATTAGCTTGACATTGTAGTATACACCTGTAGTCCCAGCTATTCGGGAGGCTGAGGCACAAGAATCGCTTGAACTTGGAAGGTGGAGGTTGCAGTGAGTGTGACCTGAGATCATGCCACTGCACTCCAGCCTGGGTGTCAGAGCAAGATTCCATCTCTCTCAAAAAAAAGAGATTTATTTCTGATTTCTGGCAAGTATACTTTTCTCTAACTCGGCGTGATTTGCAAACTGCCAGGCAACTTTTTTGCATGTGTTTTCCAAGGTGTATTATATGACAGTGGTACATAATACTAATTTCTGTCCGAAATAAGCCAGAGAAGTATTCTATAATATTTGTCTAAGAGTAAACACTTGAGAATCTGTTAATTAACAAAGAATGTAGGGGTTTTGTGTTGATGCAGGCAAGGGGCTATATATGTAGATTGGGATAGTGGCAGCTGCAAAGCAAGGGTTCACAGCTTTTAAAAAATATAATCAATACAGATGAGAAGCTTATGCAATTAACCCCCCCTCAAAAAAAAATCCACATGGACACATACATACAGATGTTCACATGCAGTAGTGTATATAATTCAGGTAGTTTATAGATGCTCTGGAGCGTTTTCAAGAACTTCACCTTAATTATCTTTGCTCTCTGGGCTGCATGCATTTTTTCATTTAATATGTACTTTTTCAATGCTTACTATGTGCCAGGTATGGTTTCTGCCGTCATTGAGCAAGCATTCTTTTAGGTACATGGATATGTGATAGAGAACTGATATACGACCATAAACTCCCAGTGATTTCATTATCATTGGTTACTAATAATTCCACACAGGATCTTAATCTCTCTTTTGCTGTTTGAAAGCAGGTAAGAAAAGGAAGAAGACACAAAGAAATAGATGTTTTGCCCTTTTGAAAACTAAATATGCAACTGTTCAAAGTGTCTATTTGTATCTCTTAT